AAGCTGAGGGATTTTCGTTGACTTGTAGTCGAAATGTCGTACTGGGAGGACAGAGCCGGAGGGGCGCGAGAGCGGACTGCGACGCGTATGGCGGCGCGGGAAGCTGAGGGATTTTCGTTGACTTGTAGTACAAAAGTAGTATTGGGAGAAGCCGGAGGGGCGCGAGAGCGGAGGACTGCGGCGCGTACTGGGAAGATGATGGATGGTCGCTGAATTGTAGTACAGTACTGGGAAGACAGAGCCGGAGGGGCGCGAGACTGCGGCGCATCTGCAGCGGGAAGCTGAGGGATTTGCGGTGAGCTGTCGTACAATGTATTCATAGCGAGAGGACACCCACAGCCGGAGGGGCATTCGTTGTAGTACACATGTAGCACTGCAGGGAGGAGCCGGAGGGGCGGCAGAGCACGTTTGCGGCGCGTGCGCAGCGCGTCTAGCACAGGGAGCCGTGGCGCTGCATGAGCCGGGAGGACAGAGCCGGAGGGGCACGAGAGCGCGACTGTGGCGGCACGTCGCAAGGAGCCGTACGAATGTAGTACTGGACTCGCTGCATCCGTGAGCCGGGAGCCGGAGCACGCCTGCGGCGCATCTGCGGAATAGTACAAAAGTGGTACTGGAATCGCTGTGTCCGTGAGCCAGGAGGACAGAGCCGAAAGGGATCACGCAGGGACCGCTGCGTATGCACTACCTAGGCGAACCTTATGTGCAGCCTACGCCAAACACGCGCGCGCGGAGCGCGATTTTCAGGTGTTGGCGGCTCGAACATCAACGCGTGGCGTGTGGTTGCTGTTAAACGAAGAACAACATGTGACCGAAGACTGGCCATTGCATTGCATTGCGTATCCCTTTAATTTCGGGTATTTGCCAAGTATGAAGTCAAGTGATATGATATCTGATACAAGTAGTGTTGTTGGTAGTAAGTATAAGAATAGGTGCATGTCATTGAATGAATATATGTACGGTCATAGATGCAGCTTATCGTCTCGGTTAGATGGTGTTATTCTTGTTTTCGTGCATATCGAATCATGTCGAGCAGCACGAGTCCTCAAGCAACCGTCCAGCGGTCAGCGATTAATTACCAAGTGAAACAAATGTACAGTTCGCGATGTACAACGAAACATAACTCAAACTAACAGCATTCAGAATTACACGCTCAGACCGTCCAGCAGGGAACGCTGGGCTTGACACACGGCTGCCACAAAGCTCAAGTGGGCAGACATGAAAGTAATGGAGTTGCGCATGACCGGTATGCAAAATCATGTTGCAGGTTGTCGCTGCGCTTAGATGGTGTTTTGCGTGTTTTCATGCATGAGTTGATCATGTGTTCATGCAGTGCTGTACATGTTTTCGTGCATGTCGTTGGATGTCATGGATGTGGTGTTTCGCTGCGTTGAGATGGTGTCGGACATGGTATTCGTGCATGTCGAAGCATGAAAATGTATGATGTCATAGATGCACTTCCGTTGCGTTTGCATGAAGCCCTCTGTGCAAAACCATAGCTTTTTTCTTGCGAACTGGGTGGTGAAACCGGAACATTTCTCGCGCGCAAGACCTGCTGCGTCACGACACCACAACTCCATACAGCACTGCTGCATATTATTACAAACCATGCCATCATAACATTCTCCGTCCCAGCAATCCGGTTGAGGGCGGCGCCGCACTCGTTCACGACGCAAGGTGGGAGCACACGAATGCCATAAAGAAAAAAAGAATGCACTATTGGATATCCAACATCACACGGCGACCGATCAGCAAGGGGTTTCCCCCTCGTAGGCGGAGGAGTTTCTCAGACCAGGCCAACAAACGAAGACGCAAGCTACAGATGCTTCTCATGCTTGAACCCACCCATACGCACAAACGGCTAGCTTGGAAAATCTCGCAGAAAGAGGCGCGTGCACCTTCATTTGGTATGGGGGGTCAGTGTGAGGACAGCGTGAGGACCTTATGGTCGTTGCCGCCCCATAACCTTTCCCATGTACACATCGGAATGGCCAACTATTAACAGGTGGTAACGTGGGTGGACATGGAATGTCTGAATTGACGCACGAAGCTTGGGCCAAAACGGGATGAGTCCCACCATTGCGGGGCAAAGCTTCGCCGTCTCAAACGTGATGAAGCAGTCTGGAGCGAAGCCTCCTCGCGCCGACCTCGCACTTAGGACAGCTCAAGCAGGAAGCCGCGTATGCACGCATCGCAACCGCAGCGAGCATTCCGTGCTTCGGTGCTGAAGTGCCCTGCGACTACTGCCCCTCCCATTTCGATCCCGATGACGACGAGCCGCGCCTGGCGCCGTGGCGTTCGGGGTAGGTTTGGCGCGGTTTGCGTCGGGATGCGTCGGGCTGCGTCCTGCGCGGCGGCTGCGGGGCGGGTGCCCGTGCTAACGATCGTGGCATCGATCGCGAGCTGGGCACCATGCCTCATGGGCAAGCCATTGGCCGTTGCAGATGTGGCGGGGAACTTGATGCCTGGGGAGACCACCGGACGGCCTGCCCCACGGCTTGCTACGGGACATGAACCTCGATGTCCCGCTGGCGGATGCACGCCGCATTGAGGTGCTGGCCAACGGCCTCCCCTTGTACCAAGGGCGCAAGTTGCCGTTGACACGACTCTCGTAAGTCCGGTCTCGCGGGACGGCGCAGCGCGTCCGAGGACAGACCGGATGCCCGGGGCGGGGGCTTCCGACGCTGCGGGGCGGAAGCGCCAGGACACGTACCCGGAGCTCCTGGCAGCTCGCCGTTGCAGGTTGGTAGTCATCGGCCTTGAGGTGGGCGGGAGAATGGACACAGAGACCGTCGCCTTCTTGCGCCAACTCGCCGCGGCGCGGGCACGCGCGTCTGAGGCCTGCCGCATGCCGGGCCAGCATCCACAGATGGACTGGCATGCTGGCGGTGGCGGCCCAGCGCGCGTATGCCGTGTCGCTGCTTGAGTTGCCGCGGGCGGGGGCGGAGCATGGTGAGGGTGACCCGCCGCCGTGGGGCGATCTGCTGGCGGACGCATGCGGGGTGGAGCCTCTCCCCGACAGTAGGCGGCGCTGAGAGGCGGACCCCCAGCACTTCCTGCGGGCTGAAAAATGTGCGACGAAAAAAAAATCCCGCCGGATGCGTCGCCTCGACTTCGTTGTTTACGGAGCGAGGAGGAAGGTGCCCAGACGCGGTCGTCCTACGCGATGGGGTTGCGCTCGCGGCAGCTCACGCGAGGGGGAGGGTGCGTGGCTGCTCCTGCTCTATTGCACCAGCCCGCGTGCCCAACATGCTATGCGCACAGTGCCGCCGATGGATTCGGCCGTCTATGCGGCAGAGCACGATCGCGGAGTTTGGACAACGCTACAGCACCTGTTGGCGGAGCAGGATGCGCGAGGACGGGAGTGGGATGCGGTCTCCGCGGCGTTTGGCGGCCTCGGTCTAGGAGCGACTAGCCCCCGCAGCCTACTGGGCGGCTTGGGCGGAGGGGCTCCCGGTAATGCTGCAAAAATGCCCGGAGGCCGCTCGTAGACAGAAGCCGGCAGCTCGCGTACTCAACAAGTCCTATCAAAAAGTCCTATCGCGAGCGCCTCCTCGGCAGCTTGTCGCCGAGTTCCCGCTCGCTGGCGAGTGGTTGCGAGCCATCCCCACAGACGAGGGCACACAGCCACACAGCTCCTGCCGATGGATATGCAAGTCGCTCTCAGGCGACGCCTTCGCTTGCCGCTACCCTTGTCGTCGGCCCGTCGCGGTGCACATGGCGAGCCAGGCAGCCGAGCCGTGGGGCGTGCTCCCATACTCGAGCGAGCATGGTTTCGCGTCGTGCGGGAAGCCGTGAAGGGCGGGTGGTCCCCCAACAGTGGCTGGCCCCAGAAGACCGGCGCCGACTCGACCTCGTCATATATGGCGCGTCTCGGCGCGGCGAGGCACTGCGGTGACCCTGGCTTCGCCGCTGAGGGCAGACGGGCGCCCGCAACCGGCCTCCTCAGATCGGGATGGGGCTGCCATCGACGCGCGAGGCGGCGCAAACAACGGCGCTACCCTGAACTGGCCGGCCCGGGCCCGCAACGCCTCGTCGTCCTGGTTGCGGAGGTTGGCGGACGATGGGGGCAACAGGCGCACGACCTCGTCTGCAGCTTCGCGCAACAGCGCTCCCTGTGCGCGCCGCGGGCGCTGCGTGCGGCTGCCTGCGCGGGGTGGGAGCGCCGGTGGTGGGGGCTGCAGCGAGCCTTGGCTTCGACGCTGTTGGGCGGTTGCTGGCGAGCGCCGGCGCAGCCTACCGGCTACGAGCACACGCCGCTCGGGTGGGTCTTGGAGCTCGCCGAGGCTGAGCGTTGAAAAAAAAAAAGCAACGCTCCAGGTTGCCCTTTTTTTGCCAGACCTTTTTGCGTCCGCAGAAAAGTGTCCAGGTCGGGTCTTGCGTGCATGACGCGCATGAGCTTGCTGCGACCGGGAAAGAAAGGAGAGAAAATGAAGAAGAAGAAGAAGAAGAAGAAGGAGAAGAAGAAGAAGAAGAAGAAAAAGAAAAAAAATAAGAAAAAGCAAAAAAAAATGAAGAAGAATAAAAACAAAAATTGCGAAGAAGAAGAAGAAGCTCGTCGTCCTGGCTGCGGAGCGGCGGTCGCTGGAGTGATGAGTGCCGTCAGTTCCTCCGTCAACTTCTGCGCCTCAGGGCCCGGCGCGCGCCAGCCCCGTTGAGGGCGTCGGCGACGCAGGGATGGGCGCGTCGCTGGTGGGGCGTCCTGCCGGTCGCTTTGCAGCGCGCCCGGGCAAGTTCCGTGCTCGGGGTTTGGACCATGCCACCGCTCCCCGGCGCCGGACGACGTGCCGCTTGGCGATGTCGATGCGGCCGCGCCCAGCCGACTGCCTTTGCAGCCGTGACGCGTCGACACGTAGTGGGACAAGCTTGCGGAAAAACGGCGTGCAGGAAAAAAAAATGTAGAGCATGATGCGCTAACTTGACCAAGTGCGGCATTGGTGGGCATGCTGTGAAGCCTCCCGCCTCGGCCGTCACGGCGTGCCTTCTGCGACTTTGCGTGGCAGGTGCGTGGTTGGCATGGAACAGACTGGAACCCTCGTTTTTGCAACCGAGGTGCAAGCGTGTATTCTTGCTGAAAGTCGGATGCGTTTATCGGCATGCGGCAGGATCATAAACCGGATGTCCCGGCCGAGCAGGAAATTGCGCTTCCTAATCAAACAACATGAATGTAGCCCGCTCCCAACAATGAGTTCTTGTACTCAGGAGCGGATTCATACGTGTGGTGCAGAGGTTCGTTAGGGCTTAAGTTCACCCCAGGAGTCGGTTCACTTTAGCTCTTTGGCAGGTGCGCACCGAGATTTTCGGAGATGGTTGGATGGCTCGGCTCTCGGTTCGTGTTTTTCATGCATTCATGGGTTGATTCTTCATTATATTTCATTATCGCGCGTTCAGTTTGCAGCCTGTAATTTTCCAGCGGTGAATACGTGGACTGATATTGCTGAAACAGCAAATTGGCCGCCCGCTGCAAGCCAGTACGTACAAAGCTTTAAGAATGTATAGACCGAATCGTGCCAACACTCAAGCACGCCCCCATTCCCCATGTCCTTATAGGACCGTGGTCCACTAGCAGCAGGAACAGTCTGACGCTTGTAATGTTTCACGTGGACCCGAACGGGCGAAAGCGAAAGCGAAAGCGTTCAGTTTGTGAGCACGTTGACCCCAAAACCTGGCAGGAACACAGTCAAATACAGGATCAAATCGTAGGCTCAGGCCTCCAAATGTAGTCGCTTAGATATGTCTGTCCTGTTAAATGCTGTAGGATTTCTTTTCTTGCGCATGGTGGTTCGCGATTCCGAAGTCATATTGCGGAAGATCGCAGGGGTCATGCCTTCAGGATCTTATCCCACTTGTGTGCTGAGACTTTTTTTTTACCCAGGGCTCCACAGTGATACGGACCCCGGGCTCAGCAACCCTCATTAGTTCATGTGCGCCATAGCGTTATCCAGTCTCGGGATGTTGGCAATAACGAAATGTCCTAGGCTGGCACATGGCTACGGAGGCGTGCATGCATAAGTTGCCTTTTTGCTTGTTGCATAGCGTGGCTTTGAACGCGAGGTTTTGAATGTGGAACAAGAGCCAAGTGATCATGGGGAAGCAGGGATGCTTAATGTCTCACTGGCTCTAATATCTACCCCCAAACAAAAACCAAAAAATTTTGGACCTATCCAAAGCATGGCGCGGGACCCACCCACCCCAAACAAATTGGGATGGGGGGGGGCACCGTGGCCCTCAGCTTTCCTAGGGTGCTGCAACAATTGAGTCACGTTGGCCCGTGGATTACCTGTCACGAAATCTGTTTGGGGTTTCGTTTCGTAATGAATTTCAATACCGCGTTAGATGGGCTTTCAGGGCCTCAAGACTTGCTGCTTAAGCCCTTAACCCTAAACACAAGCCTTAATAAACGGAACGAAATAAAACACAGACACACACACACACACACACACATACCCCGAAACAACAAAAACAAAGCTTGTGACACTAGCGGGTGGCCCGAACAAAATGAAATACAAAAGCCAGCGCAACATCAATACAGGATGTCAATCGTGTAGCAGGAGGTAATAAGAATGTAATTTTCAATTGCAATGCGATAGATAAACAGTTGACACGCGTAGGTTGGCAGACAAGCATTAACTTGTGTTTTCACAGAAACCCTCAGTCAAGCTGACATCAAGAGGAGGGACAAGGTGCCCAATGGAGTTGGCTAGCTACACACTCGAAAGATTCCACAGGTTGTCGTTTGGCGCGCTCGATCCATGGCATGTATGTATGCACCGCTGTTCCATGCTTGTCGAGGTGCATCGTATCTTTGCGCGTGGCCAGGACAATCAACAAAAAATTGCACGGAAGTTTGACGTCCCATGGCTTCAGGACTACCCTGGTCTGTGCAAGTCCGGGCCCGTTCATGTTCTATCAGTAGCGTTTAGGTAAGGTTGGCCATCAAACAATGACAAGAGTCACACCGCATAACAAGGTCACGCACTTTGGGCGACACATTGGCAAAGGCGGTTGAGTCCGAGTTGAGAGCCGACACAACACGACCCGGCACGACAGCACAGCATGAGCTGTTTGGGTCCTGCTGCAGGATTATGGCATCATCGCCGAGCCTGACATTGCATTGACAGAGGTCTCATCGTTGTTTTGCGCAGGGCTTTTACGATCGTCGATGTCATCTCTCAGGTCAGAACCGCCAAAAAGCCGTTCATCATCCTGGCCAGTCCTTTGGCTTCAAGACTTCACAGTTCAGCAAAGATGTTTCCATGTTACACTCGTTCAAACGGCCTCTGTACTGTAGAAACTCCCGCTTCCAATCTGAAGTCCATTTTTTTTTGGAAGGCGAAATTCGACCCCGAAGAGGGACTTCGGCTCCGAAGACGAAGATGAAAGAAGATGAAATTGATCCCGAAGACGAAATTCTCGCGTGTTGCGTGTGCACCCACGTCGCGTGTGCTCCCACGTTGCGTGTCGACGTTCCTCGCTGCAGCCGTTGGGGTCGGGGGCAGGGGCAGGTGGAGGGGGGTACAGAGGTCGGCCTACGCAGTCTCTGCGTCCTGCGCTGTTGCGTGACACCGGACTACGCTGGCCGGCCGCGGACGCTGCGGCTCCAAAAGGTGCGGACAAGAAACGCCGTAACTAAACCTGGGTGGACCGCGAGCCCCAAACCCAGGAGTCAGCCCACGTTATGGGTGGCCCTACCCTTCCCTCGTCTTCAAAAAAGAGTTATTCAAAACTAAATGGTGGGGGGGGGGGGGGGGGTTCGGGCACACTTGGCTGCACACATGGGAGATTTCTAGGTAGCGGAAACAAAAAGAAGCTCTTTGAGCTTGCTTTGCGAAGCCCATGAAGAAGACTTGCAGTCATTGAGTTTGCAAGTTGTCCGTCACGCAAGCATTGCGTTTGTTTGCAAAATTTGCAAATTGGGGGGGGGGGGGGGTGGGTGCGCTCAAAGAAGATCGTTCCATGAAGCGGAATCCATGACGAGGAGTTGCATATAGTTACGCAGTTAATAGTCAATAGGAAGAGGGCACTGTGTTTTTGCGGCTGCGTGACAGGTGATGGCATCTGGGAGTTTCTGGACTCGGAGTTTGTCATTCGGGTCTTGCGGCAGTCAGAACAGACGGTCGCAACATGTATGGTGTTTAACGGTGTTACGCGTCATTTCGGAAGGCAGTTTCCAAGATCTTGCCGATGGAAGGGCCTACGAGGCACATGCTGGCGGCTAGTAGTTGATGAAGCCAGCAGTAGCCGGCTTCGCCGAGTGCAAGTTTCTGTGACCCTGCGAGGGCATTGCACAAACTACATCGTGAAGCAAAGAAAAGATGGCGACAGGCGGTTCTGTCATTCACAAGCCTTGTGATGCCTGCTTGCTGTGGCAAATCCAGGAGGAAGGCCACTCGTATGACGTGTTTCTGGCGAGTCTTGACCTTGCGCATAGACAACGGGCTAGAGTCTAGAGTGTGAATCTTGCCGAAGGAATCCGAAGGAGATAGCCCTGGTAGAAATGCTCGTTGCAGGATATGACTGCGATCCTCGTCAGGCTGTAGACTGTAGAGGCTGGGTGTGCTTTGCAGTGCCGTGGCAGCTTTGACCATCTCCAAAAGTAAAAACGCAACAGGTCAGTGAAGAAAGCACGTGAGAAACATGTAGAAATGTCGGAACAATTTGTGCTGATTTTCTGAATGCTCGTTCTCCTCGCCTTATCTCCTTGGTCCGTGCTCGTCGCTGAAATCCATTGGGTGGCCCTCCCACGGCACGGCAATTAGCTTCTCGATTGTTAGTTTCATTTTGTATTTTCATTCTCCCAACCCCCCCTCGCCCTCAAACAGCGAGCAGTAGTACCTCCACAGCCCCTGAGCACTGCCTTGGTCCATTCTTGGTGAGCATCATGATTCTCCACCTTTGGGACTCCGATGCGGAGAATGCCGAGTCAGGAGGTGGCTGGGGGCCAACCTGAGCAGCCAGGAATTCGGTAAACCTAAGCGGGCCTAAGCTGGCAACAGTCTCGATGTGGAAGATGTGGAGACACACGCTTGGTGGAACAAAAGCAGAGCTTGTCCAGCCAGAGCACCGGCCTGGAAGCCATCGCGGTGCCCGAAGAAGAATTGTTTTAGTGAGAACCACCTCCTATCCTAGGTAAAGCAAGGGGGCGCACAGCATCGTATTGAAGCCACCCAGAAGTCATTTACTTCCTCGCCGATCTGCGGCGAAAGGAAGAAGGTGGACATGTAAACTTTGGAGGGTGTTGTTTTGGGTGTTGTTTTGGGTGTTGTTTTGGGTGTTGTTTTGGGTGTTGTTTTGAGTGTTGTTTGCTTCCGTCCAGCGCCGCCTCGCTGCCGGATGTTCCCCGCCCCCCACCCCCATCCACCATCCCTTTCCCTGGTGCAGTAGACCTCGCGCCCGGCATCGTTCCCCGCTGCGAACCTCGCAGCCATCCTGCTCCAGGAGCTGTCAGTCCGGAAACCCCTCGTCCCGCACCATGTTGCACCATTGCGCCATGCCGCACCGTGCCACTCTGTCGGCTCGTCCCATGGCCGCCACGAAATCCGCCAACAATCCTAAACGAGAACCCAACCCACGAGGGTTCTTGGGAAAAAGGCTTCTGTGTGGAGATTCATTTCTGCGTTGGGGTCGCCAGGGGGGGGGTTGAACGACCTGAACAGTCGAAGCCGAATTAGGAGGCGAAGACGCTATCGCGAGGACAAGGTTATGGGCGGAGCATTGAGGACCTTTTGTTGCCAATTGGAGCTCCCACAGGGCCTGCATGTGTGTTACCCTTCAGTCTCGGAGGATCGTCTTCCTCGTCAAACCCTGGTTTCAAACCCGGTTGGCACAACAGCCCAGCAGAACATTAGCGCTAATGCAGGGGGGGTTTTGAGGTCCTGGCATTGTTGTTTCTGGCGACAGCGACACGGGGACCTGCTCGACTCAAGGGGTGTGGTGCCTCGGAACCATTGGAACACATACCATCACGCCAGTCAAATGAATTCTGAGTTTTTCCTACCGCGCGGGCCTTTTGACTTGGAGACATAGAAGGTAGACATATGTGGCATCCGCTGGTCTTCGAGAAGTGATAAGTAAGCGATTTACTTTCCGATCCCACCGAGGTCCAACAAGGAAATTGAGTTTTGAGACAGCAAACGGCCCCCCCCTTAAAAATCTGGCAATGAGGGGGGGGTTACCCCCACTGCCGCCTATTTCCGGGCTTTCCCGCCGCTTATTTTGCTACAGTGGGGGGGTTCAAGAAAATAAGCGGGGAATGATCGGTTAACTTAAGTTATGGGGCTGCCTGTCATGTTAAACAAACAGCATGGGATGTAATTAGAGCCCAACTCATTCCTTTCGACGAGGAGTTTAGAGGATAGGGGCTTAAGGCTTAATAAAGGGGTTCCGGGTTTGGGTTCGGAGGTTGAAGGGTTGGTGTTTTGAGGATGTAAGGGGGTTGAGTCTTTGGGCTTCAGGGTCCAGGGCTGGTTTGGTGAAGGATCAGTTCCTATATTGTCTTGCGTAGCTGTGCCCATAACTTAGTCATGCGTTTGTTTCCTATGTTCAAACTAGATTCGCAAACACAGGCATAGCATTGTTCCCTCGGCCTAACACAGATTATGAAGGGCACTTTACAGGAGTCTCGCAATCTTGGGAGGGGTAGGGGCAAGTGAGAAATAGGCGGGGAGGGATGCGCAGGGCATGCACTCCTGGTCCTTTACAGATCGGTCTCTAACTCTAGGACTCAACCCAAGCATATCAGGGTCCCACAGGGGCATCTTGGGGATCCCACAGACGGCTGGAAACAGGTGGGGGGGGGGGGGGTTGGGGGGGGTCATAAAGGGCAGGGCCTGTTGCACGCTACAGTCCCCCCCCCTCTTTCCCGCTTATTTCTTTCTTGTCCTATGGGTCCCACAAAGGTCCCACAGACAGCCAGAAATAGGCGGCGAACCGGGGCTGTGGGGGTGGGTCGTAAAGGGCAGGGCCTCTTGCGCGCTACAGTCCCCCCCCCTCCTTCCCGCTTGTTTCTGGGGCGTTCCCGATCTGATAGGGGTCCCACAGACAGCCAGAAAATGCCAGAAACAGGCGGCGAGGGCGGGGGTTTGGGGTGGGTCATAAAGCGCAGGGCCTCTTGCGCGCCACAGTCCACCCCCTCCTTCCCGCTTATTTTTGGGGCGTTCCCGGTCCCAGGGTCCCACAGACAGCCAGAAAACATCCTAACAGTCGCACAACACGTCCCACAGACAGCCAGACAGGTCTTGCACGCTATAGTCCCTTTCCCGCCCTCTGCAGCTGGGATAAAGGCTTCCCAAGCGCATGCCAAATGGGCGGGGAAGGCGAGGAAGTTTTGGGGCGGATAGGCACAGCCCACATGTGACAGCTTGTCCCTCTTGTGTCTGTTCCGGAACCGGCTGCAACACGATGGCGGGTGAAACTCATTGAGGTCTTGCGAATTTCACCCGCCGTCGTGTTGTAGGTTTCAGAACAGACACAAAAAAAGACAAACTGTCACATGTGGGCTGTGCCTAGCCACTTTGGGCGAGCAACACTCCCGGGGCCACACTTCACAAACTCAATTTGGCCATGAAACGTACACTCAGGATCGAGGTTTCAAATCAGACACGCAGCAGACACAGATGCCGGTGAAGACAGCTCGCGCTAAAATGGTTTCTGTCCGAGTGCCTTTTTGAGAGAACATGCCTTGCTACAGTCCCCCCCCCCCCCCCCCCCGAAACCTTAAAAAAGCGAAATACACGGGCCGCCTATTTCCGGACCACCCCCCACCCCCCCACCCCCATAAGGGGGGGGCACTACAGCAAGCAGAGCCAGGAATCAGAAAAAACAAAGCTGCATGGTCGCTACTTTCTCTCTCCTTTTGCTTATTGCCGCGCTTTGTTCGTGTCTTTTGCACAGTCTCAAATAAGCATTCCGCGGTTTTTTGTCCAGCCTCAACGCTGCAGAAGAAACCAGAAACCCGACAGTCCAGAGGTCGCAACGTACCTGTTTGCTCGAATTTCGGTGGGTGACCTGGAACATTCTTAGTCTCATGAGCCCCATAGCCTGGATCCCGACCGTGCTGGAGGCAGGAGCCCTTCTAACGTCAGGCAGAGGTAGCAAAAATCACAATCCAACTGCGAGCCACAGAACTGCGAGCATCTTCAAGAACTCAAGCTTGAAAGTTCAATGACTTCAAACGTGTATAGGACAACTATGAAACCTAAGTCCAATATAAGTGTAAATGTCAGATATAACCAATGTTTAAAGATCCTATCCAAACTTATTTGCAGGCTTGTCGAGCGGAGACTTCCAGTCCATCCAACGGAATTTGCCAGGTCTGCACACGCACGGAAGAACTTCCAGACTTGCGCGCATTTCGGGTCCCTCGTAATTTGCGAGGTTTTTGCATACGCAAAGTTCCGGCCCTGTGTAGAGTGCCATCTCCACGGTTCGGCGCCATGTCGGAAGGCAGAATTCCAACCCCATAGCACTAGTGAGATTTTTTGACACGCGGGGAATTCCATATGTAGATATGCGGCTGCGTAGTTTGCGACAATTTGGCCGTGGAGGAGGTCCAGTCCCTTGCTATGATTTGCACGGGTTTTGCATTCGGAAATTCAGTCCCATGCTGTTTGCAAGTTTGTGCCGTTTCAATTACACAGTCCCATGTAGTGTTTGCGAGGTTGCGCGCAGGCGGAGAATGCTACTCCCAAAACAGTACGTGGGTTCAGCATCGTTTTGGACTCATGTATCGTGGCACGGCGCCGTCAGGGTCTTTGTATCTATCTCGGCGTCAGGGGCCAAATTGAGAGAGAGAGAGAGAGAGAGAGTGCCCCCATGCCCCCAAGAAAGAAAGAAAGAGAGAGAGAGTGAAGAGAGAGAGAGAGAGAGAGAGAGAGGGAGCCCCCGGGCCCTCAAGCCCAGCAGAAGAAGAAGAAGAAGGGAGAGAGTGAGTGAGTGCGCCCAGTGCGCCGGGAGCCCCCGGGCTCGTGAGTGAGTGCGCGAGTGAGTGAGACTGATCCTCCAAGAAAGAAAGTGAGAGAGTGAGAGAGAGAGAGAGAGAGAGAGAGTGAGTTTGTGTGTTATTGCACTGCACCCTACGCTTCTTTATTGGCACCACGTCATGAGTGCACCCTCGCAGATCGGCATGGAACTTGGGGAGCACACATGTTAGTCGTTGTCCCCCAGATGAAACTCCAAGCTGCGGAACCTCGATACCCTGAACAACTGTCATCGAGCTAGCACAGTGGGAGTGTACACCAACGACATGCACCCACCCCCCCATCGCTTTGACCCGTGGCGCGGAAGTGTCACTGCTGTCATTCAAAGCCCACACGGGCCAGGTGTCGTGAAACGCAACCTTCACCCCTTCAAACGGCTAGCGAGGGAAGATAATCACTTCAATATCGATATGTTGTATTCGAGGGGCCACGCTAGGAAGCTTATCCTGAACACACAGAGCACAGAGAGGGACACCTAACTTCCACTGTGTGTTCCGACTGAGACGCTTGGAGCACGTCCTCCGGGGCGGCCTCAAATGGGAGGCTAAGTGCTCAGGAAGGAAGGAAGGAAGGAAGGAAGGAAGAGAGAATTCGGCGTCAGAAGCACACTTCGGCCTCAGGAGCTAAGTCGGCGTCACAATTCGGCGTTAGGTGTCAGACAATGTGGCGTCACGTACAGCACGGCAGCTTCAGCTCCGCGAAGGCACCGGTGGAGCAGCACATCCATTTTTCTAAACATGCTCTCCCTCTCACATCTTGGAGAGTCGCCCGTTCATTTTTGTTGCCGAAAATGCTTGGGGGCGTAAAGAATGGTCCATTCCATGATCATGGGTGTCGCATTTTCGAGCATGCCAAGCGGCTGGTGCAGTAAGCTTGACATGGGTGGCGGGTTCGAAGGCGAACCCAAGGCGAACTCGCACCTGTCATTTTTCGAAACAGGTTGCCGTAGTATCTCAGTCGCATTCTCCCAGGGCCCCTGCTTAAACGTGCACAAACAAGGAAGATGTCGAGTCATCAGATGCTGGAGTTGGCAAGCAAGGTTGGTAGTGCTGTTGAAGTGTGCAGGCTGTGCACAGCGCTTGCTGAGACATGGTCTGAGTGGAGCCAGCCAAAGACGCATGGTGAGAGTTGAAAAAGAAGCTGGCCGCAATGATATCTTGCTAAGTCGTTGCTGCGTGGCATGATTGGGAGCCTAGATGTCATGAAGCATGCTCAACGCCATTTTGGGTTCTGCCTGCCAGAAATTAGCTACGCAGTCGGCCGCATGGTAGCTGAGTTCTCCATTGCCGCCATTGTCCAAAACAGAATGCAAACGTCATGACCTGTTTCAATACCGTATCAGAGACAAACAACAGTACTGCTATGGCAGCCAGTGACAGCCAGCTGTACGTGTTTTTGGTTGACATTGTTTCATTTGTTTGTTTTCTCTTTCTGTACAGACCCAGGCCTGTTGCTGCGAACGGTTTTCAAATGCCTTCGTGGAAGCAGCTGCTTCGCATATTCTTCATGCCCTGCAGGTGTCAAACCAAATGGCACCAAAGAAGGTATGAACCTTGGAGCCTCTTGGGGCGTGATGGGTGAGGACGTAGTACGGAGGCATGGGCAATTTGGCACAACACTTCACAGACACAAACGGCTGATCTGTCGCCTGGCTTGAGGGTAGGCAGCGTTGCGTATGGCAGCAGCTACCAAAGTGCGCTGTAGTTAGCAGTAGCGCCGTGTGCAATGCCGACTGGGTCACGAGTCCGGCTTGAAGCTGATGGGCTCCCAAGCATTGACTTTGCCGTGAGGTCGCCCAATGTGGACGACAGCTCTTCGGAGGAAGGGCAGACAGCCTTGATAGATGCAGGGGTTGAAGCAAATGCCTTTCCAAGTGCGGCTCCGGACATGTACATGCATGAGGTCGAGCCAACAGAGATGGATCCCACTGCTGAGACGCCCCCGCGCGAGAAGCCCCGAGTGCCCGGTTCTCCTCCACCCCTGGATGTCGAAGCTGAGCATGCCGGGCCGTCTCATGGAGTTCGGGGCGCATCTCCGCTCAGTGCCAATTTGCGCAGCATGCCATCGCCTTTGCGGACTGGGAGACGATCCCTTTCACCGAGAGAGGCCCGTACTCGCGGAATGGGCCAAACCTCCGCCGCCATTCCAGAGAACGAACGAGAAATGCACCTCGGTGGCAGAGAGTCACGAAACTTTGTGGAGGACAGCCTTATGGGCACGTCACCATGTACAGAGCGGTCCATGGACTCTTTGGCATCTTTCTTTCGTGATGGGCACTACTTCGTACCTTTGAGGCTGTCATCGGTAGACGAGCCGTTGGCAGAACCTGCCCAGCACCCTCGAGAGAGTCACATTGACCGTCCCCATGATACCACTATGCAGAGCTGTGAGCATGGGACACCATGCGTGGCATCCTTCCCTTGTCCCCTGACTTGTGGTGGACCTGGTAGTTTGATTCCAGGCGCAAGGCGGCCAGCTGCCTTGCCTGCAGCGTTGCCCACAGCTTTGCCTGCGGCCATGCCGTCCATGGCAAGCATGCCTGAGCCACCGGAGCCTCCAGTGCGGCCCACAAGAGAGGTGGAACACCCGGCCGTTTCAGGCTTCCCCTCACGCGCTGGAGTTCCACGCATCCCCGCCCCAACAGAGTCCATTGACCTGCCAAGCGGTGAAGGGAGGCATGAGCTCAATGAGCTCCCACGACATGTGCCGTGCCCAAGCAGGGCCCCCATACTGGCAGGGACAGCCGCTCCGCCAATGCGCCATTTGCCAAGCTCAGCTTGCATGGCCGCTGATGCAAGAGTGGCACAAGAAGAGCCTGGCAGCGCCCACATGTCAAACCCAAGCCGGCCCGGCGAGGTGCCAGCCTATGTCAGAACGACAGGAGTGCCTCCCACAAGTGCAGAGAACACTCACTTGGCAACGGCAACGGAGGGGCTTGCCAGGCGGCATGGGGAGGCAGACTTGCGCACCTCCGGGCCGATGCCTTCCACAACACCGGCGCCACCGCCCCCAAACGGAACCGGTGGCTTATCTGTGAGCAGCATGGCCTCAATGGCCCCACCCAGCTGGGGATTCGCAGGTCTGAACTCAGGACACATGACTTCTGTGCCCATGCAGGGGGGGCCGCCTCCTACAGCCAGGCCTCCGGCACCAGCACTTCCAGCACCGGGCATATCTCAGGGTGCTCCGCCCATCACGGGTGCTCCGCCCATCACGGGTGCTCCACCCATCACGGGTGCTCCACCGCCAAACATGTACACAAGTTCAGGCCATGCAGTGCCCCCATTCCATCGAGAGTTTACGGGAGTGGGTGTTGCTCCGCCACCACAGGCTTTGCCAAAGGTTGCTATGCCCCCACTAGCACGAGCATGGGGAACTCAGGGGCCAATGGCAGCAACTGCACAAGCACCTTCTTCTGTACAAGCACCTTGGCCAATGCAGGCTGCCATGTCAGTCCCGCTTGCATCATCTATGCCGCACCAAACCTCGTCGCTTCAAGTGCCAGTCCCGCCAGTCCGAGCCGAAGTGCACACAGCTGGTCGTATGCCTCCAGCCATGGTGGCGGAGACGCTGCCTGGAGGCGGACGGGGCACTGTGCCTGCCGAAGCCGCAGAGCGTCCGAACTCTCAAGGGCCAGCTCCAGCCAGCCAAGAGACACTTGCATCTGCTCCAAAGTCCAGTGGCCCCATTCCAGCTTCTGATGCTTCAGCCCCGCATGCTTCAGCCCCGCATGCTTCAGCCCCGCATGCTTCAGCCCCGCAGATGAGCCAGACTGGCCTGCCCCCCGATCCCGAGTCAGCAAAACAGCTGACTGTTCCGGAAGCCTTGCCAGTCCCTGCAGCCTTGGGCTTGGCACCAGAGGCTGTTGAGGAAGTTGGGGCTGAGGCGGCTGAGGCTCAGGATCACAAATCGCCTGCAGCATCTCCAACTGCTCGCTCACCGTCTTTTGCAGCAGGCGTGCCTGATTTGATGAATCTCGACCAAGATGGACTTCCTGAGATGACAACACCACCTCCGGACATGATTGAGAGAGGGCAGCAGACCACACCAGACAAGGCAGTTGCTCCCAGTAGGAGGAGGAAGCGAGTTGCAGAGGAGAAACCCCGCACCCCGAAGGAGGGCCCTTTCGAGCTAGTCACAGTGGGTATGGACAAGCTCAAGTGCCTCAACCAGGAAGGCCGACCACGTCGCCATCAAATCCGTGTGCTTGAACACTGGCGCAATGAACGTGTGCTGTATGAAAGGGTGCGCGGGTCGGCGATGCCGACAGTATGCGGCGTGGTCGTTGCTCAGCCATGTGACGACACAGATGCTTCACAGGAGCGCATCCCGATTGGCCTCACGGCCAAGTTCGATGATGTCTTCAGCCCCTGCAGCAGCAAGAAGTCTGACCTGTCATTCCAGTCAGGCGGGCTCAATGAGGAGGATGCCATCACGGACAGCTTGCGCAAAACCAGAGCCACAAAAGTGAGGCGACCCGTGGCGCGAGCTGCCAGAGCCGCAAGTGCTGCAGCAGCCGCTACCTTGGCGGCAGGTGCACCTGAGAGGGCTTTGCCAAGGAGAACGCCTGCAGGATTTGTGGAAGTCCCAGCAGCTGCAGGTTCCACGCACGCGTGTGGGATCAGAGTCGGATTGGAAAATGGCAAGTGGATGTGTTGTGACATCCGCATCCCTCCACGTTCCTTCAACACTCCAGAAGAACTTGCTGAGAGCAGATCCCTCCTGATCTATGTCACATCTTGCGAGTTTGGGACCCTAACTGCAGCCGTCGACACGAATATCATTGACTTATCCACGGGGCATTCCCTCGTTATCCGTGCAGGACAAGAGTACTGCTTGAGGAACTCATCCGCTGCAACAACGGCCCAGCTGAAGATGGTGTTGATCAACCAGACGATGCCTTGATGCCATTCGTACCTGCCTTCCAAGCACTGAGAGCGACGCATCCCAGGGGTCAGGATGCTGAGGGGTACTGCGAGCTGGAAGCTGTCATAGCAACTGACCAAGCGCGCAGGAGAAACGCAGATTGCATGTGAAAGCTTTCTGACTGCTTCTGAGTGTTGTTAGTTTGGACGGACCTTGTTGCACTGAGTGGAGCGGCATTGACAAACATGGTTTCAAAACTCGTGTCAGCAGCAAGGTAGCAAGTATGTCCATGAAGACGAAGAGGACGGATGCAGTCCTAGACCCGGTGGCTTTTTCGAGCCACATATACTTTGTCTGATCCAAGAACTGTGCATTGCATTGGTGCGTTAGCGTTACGGGTGGACTGCAGTGACTCGCTGCTTTTGCAACGATGGCTTCCTCCGAGGCTGATCTACAGCAGCGCGAGGTCACAATGCGAAACCTGAGTGCTACCAAGTCTCGTGCTCACAGGAAGCTTTCTTTTTCCGACAGTCGAGTAAAAACGTTATGCACGTTATGTGATGAGGTTGCAGCAGTATGCGCGAATGTTTATCGTACGTCGGCGTCTACGGCACTTGCATGCCTTGGAAGACAAGGCCAACACTCCTTGCGCAAGTTTTGGTGAACATTCATCGCGCACGAGAGATGGCAAGGTGTTGATCAAGCCGAAACCTGGTGGAGTTGCTTTCAAACAGCTGCTGCCTCCACCCGTCGAGGAGAGAAGATAGTTGGAGTATGCCTGGACCGTTGTTGCACTGGTATGTTCTGGCGTGTCACGATCGCTTGAGCCGAAGTTCTGCCTGACGCAGGTCCCAGTATCCCGACCAAGCAGCGTCGCGTCGGCCCGACCCTTAGCTGCTATAGCCGATCCCAATTCCATTTTGCAAACTTGTCAAAGATGTTTCGGACAGGGGGCCAAGAGACAAGGCAGCGTGGGGCCTAGCCTCTCCAGCCTAGAGACATGCCCGAGTTCTGGAGGTTTGGGGGTTCCAGGGCTCGGGTTTGGGGGAGGGGGATTCGAGGCCCTCAGTTTTCGGGGCATTTGTTTTGCAGATGGGTGAGCTTATGGTGCGTGCCAGTTATTTTTGCCGAACACTTAGAACTTGGAACGCTTGGCAGCCAATCCACGACATCCTCGTCTGATGCTCTACAGTCTCTAAAGCTTTTCCTGTCTCGGGGCGAAGCTGTTTCCACTAGAAGGCTCCTAGAGCCCCAGAGCAACAGGAATATTCAACCGTGCAAACCAGCGCCGATTCTCCTGCGGTTGTCCAGCGTCTACAAGTCCACATTGCAATCGGCATGTGACCTCTCAGGCAAAACCAGCCAGGACCCTGCTTCAGAAGCCAGGCGTGACGAACATGTCGAGTTGCCTCTTGCACGTGTCGTTCGGTTGCCTTGCCTTGGCGCAGGGAACTCCCTGAGACCAAGAAGGCCGGCGTCTCGCTTCTCAGTACCCAGGCCACTCGAACGATGTAGTTGTGCCAGGTGCAGCCTCCACTTTCACTCCAAGTTCTGGCGAGCCACCTGCAAAAGACCTCTGGCAATATAGCCAAAAATAGCCACAAAGCTCCGGAGGATGTGTCGGGCGAGTCATGTCTTTAAGTCATCCTTGTGCTTGGTTGTGTGTTTGGACTTGACTTTCACGGGACTGAGGACAAGTTGTTACTCATCGCGCAAGGCGCAGCATGCGCAGCTCGCCGGGAGAGTTCCATTCTTGCTTCTTCAAGTCTGGACTTGTCTCTTTCTCTCCTCTGCAGGCATGTGATTCACACATGCTCTGCCAACCAGGTCTGTGCATTTGCAAGTAATCAAGGCCGCACAGGACCCGTGACGCACATCATCATACATGAATGCGAGTACACACAGTCGAGATGATCGCAATGTGGATTGACCAGGCCATTTTCAACTTATTTTCAGTGCCGCTTGATGGAAGCCTTCACAAAGGCCTGTCTTCGAGTGGTCATGGCAAGCCGCGGCAAGCCAGCATGCGGTTTCCTTGTGTCATTTGGCAACCCAGGCCACTTCGATCGGATTTATCAGCACCACAGGACCATATTGACAGACAGAGACTGCAAGCTTATGTGCTTTTGGCCAGGTTGTCTGAGATGAGCATTCGGTAACCTCCAGTGTCAACATCTGCAAGTAGCATCGAACCACAGCTGGGTCATTGCAATCATGAGCCGGTCGCCGCTGAAATGCCAAATCTGCAGGATCCATCGGCGAATCACCTTGTCAAGCACACGGCTGCGCCGATGTCACAGTGTCGACGAGCTTCGTTGCCAGCAGATCCCTAGTCGCAATCGGAAGGCCTTGTGGTAATGCGGCACGGTGACAGTTCCTGGGCCTTCGCCCAAGGTCGCACCCAGCCAAAGCAAGTCATGACGCACGCGCAATGGCGCACGTACTGGGAGGCGACCGGCCAGCTACGACACCATCGCTATCACCTATGGCGCGCGATGCATTCTGACTCTGCGCTTGGCCTTGCAGTGGTTCCCCACCCGTCAGGTTCAGATTTCCGCCATCTTAGGTTGCTTCCCTCCTCGTCGTGTTGTTACTTTCGAGACCCGTCGAATAGCATCGAACACGATCTTCTGCATCACTGCATCGCAACTTCAGTTCCTCCTTCCCAAATCCCCCTATCCACACTGGAGCCCAAGTCATCAACAGAGTTGGCTCGAGAGGTCGGATCTCAGCTGAAGATGGAAACCTTGCCTAGGCAATTTCAGATTTCCAGGTTCAAAAACGTAAAGTGGCATTGTGTTATGCAATGCGCATCGAACAGGACGACTGCCGTGTGGCCTCATGAACAGCAGTGATGGCGGGAGCAGTAGGTGCACCAGGGTACACCGAATCTGGGTTGCAAAAGATAGCCCCAACAGTTGAATCTAGCGTTCTAGTCCTGAACAAACAGCGCACACACAGTTTTGCACGCTGACATGCTTTCGTGTCTTCCAAAGGTGATCGTGGAGAGTTCTTTCTCCAAGATCCGAGGGTCTGGTAGGGCCTGGTAGGGGGAGGTAGTGACCACGTGGGAGGAGAAGGAAGCAGGAGGAGACAAAAGTGAAACAAAATGACACGGAATGAAGCAACCTAATGAGACAAGATATGCCTAAGATCTTTTTTCCATGATCTAAAGACCAACTTGTGACATGCTTTCTCGATGCACTTGAATGCTTCGATCGTGGCCGGAGGCCAACCACCAGCGGACTTTGCAGCCGACTGGCTGGAACCAGGTGAGATGAATTATGAAGACTCTGAAGATTCGGAAGACTTGTGCACTAGTCTTGTCCTTTCGGAGGTTACACGCACTTCCTGGGCTCTGCGCCTTTGTTGCGGCACTCAAATGCAACAACGCTTCCAGCGATTGTATAATGCCTCTGTTTTACCAAGGCCAGGACTGGAGACCTCAGTTGGTATTATCTAGCAGCTTGCAATGCTGCAGGCGGGAGTGTCGGTGCATGTCGTTCTGGCCAGCTTCAGGCATGCCTCTTCTAAAGAGCCTGACAGAACCTGAGCACTCAACCGAGCGGACCCTGTAGCACATGAACCTGTGGAAGAAAGGCAGTGTTCGTGAAGGTAAAGCGGGGTTGCCGGGCCTAGGCCAGGGACTTTGCAGTAAATTCCTGTTGCGGGACCGGTTTGACCCCCCCCCACTGAGTCGGAATGCTCAATCTCGGACTTTGGCAGCCAACGCAATCGTAGCGCGCATGACACCTTGGAACTACAGTCCTCGGCCAGCACATCAAGATATTCATCGCAGACCTGCCCGTGGGCGCCCCCTGCCAACACGCTGGCCAGCGTCATCAGTGAAGTCGTGCTTGAAGTGGCGCAGCTGCTGCCTTGGTGGCGACGAAGAACAACCGCTGGTTCTGCTAAGGTCGTGGGGGGGCACGGTGGGCCCGTTTGGAAAAGCCGGCATAGCAGCCGCCTTAGAAAAGCCAGCAGCTGTTCTGCCAGCCGCCGAAGAACAACCAGCGGCTTTCCGATCTAGCCTAGAAAACGACAGGGTTGTCTAGCCACCTCAGAAAGCCGCCGACTTTTCGCGCCGGCTTGGCAAAACCAAGGGTTTTTCCAGCATGATAGAAAAACCAACAACTTTTCAAGCCACTTTCAACAACCGCAGGTTTTACTGGTCGGCTTAGAATCGCTGCTTTAAGAAGTTTTAAACAAGCCGGTTCTCTCGCCGACGACTTCCAAAAGCCGCCGGCTTGTCCAGATAGAAGAGAAAAGTATAAACCACCATTTTCTCTGGCAAACCACGGTTTCCAGCGGCTTTTCTAGCCGCCTTCTCCAGCTACTAGCTGAACTAGGCGAAAATAGCCATGAAATGAAGAGCCAGCCTTATTCTGTTCCGGTGCCAGTACCCTTTGCCCCTTCTATAAGCACTGGCTTCTTGAAGCCGCTTATAAAGGGGGGGAGGGGCACGCTGCCCCTACTTCTTACAAGGCATACGCATCAATGCAAAAAGGGTGCAGTCGAGTGTGGAGAAAAAATGCAGCAATGCAAGAAAGAGGCTGGAGAGGATCCTTCGTTAAGCAAGTGGGGGAGGGCGGCGCCTCGCATACAGCACTACAAGAAGAGGCGAAGCTTCAGCCGCCCCGCCCTTCCTGCATAGCGTCGCATAGCCGTCGCATCGTCGACATGGCTTTGCGAACGGTTTTTGTTTAGGGTCTTTCCGGGTCTTTACAGTTTGACAGGGGTTTGAGGATTAGCTGTTCAAACGAAACGAAGCAGATCTTGTGCCTCAGCAGCAAAATTTAGTAAAGCTGCTGCGCCTCACACAACCATTAATGCGATACGTCGCCCGGCTCGAAGCTTGACGATTTAGAACGCAATTGTTAAGGAATAAATCGCATCGTGTTTGAGGTACCAGTCTTTTGTCACGACATGAAGGTTGCTCGCGTGCCTTGCTAGGCAGACTAGCGAGCGCGTGTCCTCAGTCCTAGACGATCCCGGATTACGGGCAGGCTAGAGCCTCAGTCGCGTATGGTGTGTACTGTGGTGTTGCATGCTGCTTGACCCCACCGGGACTCGAAACGAACTTCGGTAGCTGCAACAATCAGGACCCATCAAGTGTCTAGTTGTCGCAGGTGTACTGGCGCCTGGGAAACATCTGGATTTGGGGCAAGTGTCCTGATTCTGATGCAGTGAAATAGTTCGGGGGCTAACGCCATGGGCAGGCAGTGATGCAAAGGCGACACGCAACACGAGCCAGAAACCCTTAGGCCAAACAAAGCCTTCAAGTCATTCTTGTCCTTCTACATTGACGTAATCAGGATGGCTGGCAACCGTGGGACTTCCTGTGTCCAGAACCGGTCAGCCAATAGAGCGTGTGGGGGACATGTGAAAACGCGTTGCTGCAGATCCTGCGTGCCAGTACGGTGCATGTTCGATTGTGCAAGGTGCGAATTTCAGAAATGGGGAGTCCACAAGCCATGCCTGCTTTGTTTGAATATGTCCTGATACCTTCCGAGCGGGGAGTCGATGTTGTGAGCTTCCGCGAGGGAGGGTAGCAAAACACAAGTTGCGATTGTGCGCATCATGCGAGCGCCGAGGTTCCGTGCTGTGTGCCCAGCCCTTGATCTGGATGCAACGCATGACTTGCGGGCCTTTCGTGTTTCAAATCAAAGCTTCCCTGCCAAAGGATCCAATCCCAACATCTTATGCATGCAAGACGCTGGACTACCCAGATTGCCAGGCTGGAAAACGTGGAGCCTCGTTCTACGACTTTTACTTTTCACCGATTGTGTTTGGGTTCTTTTGCCGCAGGGCGGCCTGGGATTTCCAGTGTGGGATCTCGGCGAGGATGTTCATGCTGTGCGGGCCCTTGGAAGCTGAAGAAAGTGCACGATATGCAAGATAATGCAAGACAGCTCTTCCTCTGCAAGACAGCTCTTCCTCTCACTTCCTCGCGATGCCAGGCCGTTTGCCAAATGGAAGGGGACACTTCCAGCCATTCCAGTCGATGCATGACGCAGAAGGATGGTGCCTGGCTTGGCTGATCGTGAAAGCATCGGTCGTGTCCTCCACGAAGGACTGGGACCGAGACGCAGTTGGCCGGCCGCCCATTACGCTCATGTAGAGCCGGCTGGTTTAATGCTATACATAGCCGAGAATTCCCACTGACATTTCGTTGATGCATTCATGATGTTGATGTGTTCAGAAGCGGTCAATCGACAGGCTGGTCACTGGCGGCGCAGCCATTCAAACAATGATGGGGTGTTTGTTGCTCATTTTTCCGCTTGTGGAGTCTCCGTGCGAGTGCCAACACGCAAGGCGACCGCATGATCACGTATACGTGTGTTTGAGAGGGCACAACATGCGCTGCAGTGATTCTTGGATGTTCTTGGGATGTAGGACTCGGCTTTTCAGAGCTGCTTCCTTCATGCTCTCCCTCCTCCTGTTTTTGTGTGGGAGCTACTTAAAACCTAGCTTGCCAAGTTCTCGCCACGGGCACGAGCCGCAACCATCTCGACCAGCTGCTCATTGGCGGCGGGGATGCGCTTCTGTGCGAGTCTTACAATTCCAACTTTTGCTGCCAGCTTGGTATGTTGCATGGTTGTTGACTCTACCCCTTCAGAATTTGATGAATTTTGTAAAGTTCGCCAGGCTAGAATCTCCTGTTCTTCATCGAGTTTGTGAGTCCGAGCGGGTCCGCTCAGACAGCGAGCTTTGGAAGGCCTTTGTTGGCGCACAGCCGTGCTGCTGGGCTCTGTGGGATGCTGCGGGATGCCGTGGGCATCTTGTCAGAAACGCTAGTTTGGGTCGTGGCAGGCGGCGCTGTCTCGCAACCAGTGGGAGGCGGTGTGGTCTTCACAGGCAGGTAGAGATGGACAGAGATGAACAGACTTTCCCTTGGAGGTCATCAGGCACATCCGCGGGGACGGTCTGGATACACAGCTTGGCTGCCTTCCGAAGCCTGTCAAGGAACCTCGGTGTCGTCGTACCGCTTGGCAAAGCCCTGTTGTGATGCTCCGACATCGGCAAAATATATGGTGCTTCTTTTCCTTTTGTGGTGTGTGTGTGTGTGTTGTGATTTTTGGTTGACTTTTTGCTTATTCAACAGGAAGACAGAGAGACAAAAGTGACGAAAGGAAAGCAAGGAAGAGTGAAACAACCAAGGGTGAACAAACTACCAGTAGCTAACTACCTGCTCGCCCCGCATGCGCCTATGTTATGGCTGGTCAACTTTGTCCACGAATGCCTCACTGAATTTCGTGGAAACAGTTGGTGTGGCCAAAATACTTCAGAGTGTTTACCGTTTTTGATGGTGCAAGTATGGCCCAACTTCCACAACATCGCCGGTGCATTGTTTTAGAAACGGTGGAAATTTGGGAAAGTTGGTGTGGCAACTTTCTCCACCACATCACCCTATGACGGTGAGAAAAAGTTTGCGCGACTTGCTTTTTTTCTTCCACAAATGGCTATGGAAGAAATATTTGGCAAACTTTGCCCACCGAGTCGCCGACGCGATATGAAAGTAGCAGCTGCTAGCTTGCTGTACGAGATCGTCGATGAAATCATTCGTCGTGGTGAAAGACTCATGATGCTTCGGAGGGAGGGGTGGAATTTAATTCGCGGGTGTGTTCTCATGAATATTATGGAGATCTCTTCTTTCCGTTTCGATGCTCACATAAGATGATTGAGATTGCTTCTTGCTAAGGATGAACTGGGTCTATGACTCTCAGTTTATGTCCAGTTCCTGTATTTATGTTGCATCCGACCGGTGTCCCTCGTGTTGGCTATGCAGTTTAAACACGCTGCGCTATTTACGTCATATGAGCAGTAGAGACAGAGCTAAACTAGTTGTTCTCGCAGTTAAAAGGCTTACGTGTTTTTGCTTATTTGGTCAGTATACAACAATCGTGTGGGGTCAAGTGGCTAAAATCAATGAACGTGTCCTTGCACTTCGATAGTACTTTCTGAATTTGCTGATTACAGTTGAATAGAACATGTATACATATGTGAACATAACAGCATTCCATATATATATATATATATATAAGATGTATTGATAGATGTATGCATATATATATATACATGTAGCAACCCTCCCCCTTTCCCACTCCCCCCCCCCCCCCCCCCCCCTCAGTCGCCCAGCTGCAATACGAGCAAACTTGGGTGTGCAAATATTGTGCTTCAACTAGAGAATGGAAAAGCAAAAGAAGGACAAACAAAGCCACAAACAAAAGCAAAAATGTAGCAACAAACACAAAGTAACAATACACAAAGCACAAAAATCACGCAAAACCATCAGCACCCATAGTCCAAGATTGACTTTGCTATCTGAGATCGTTTCTTTTTGTTTTGGTTTCGTTCCCACCTCTTCACTCAGAACACGCTGCAGCGAGCGCAAATGTCTCAGCCGGCGTTGGCAACATTGAGGGACTTTGTTCGTGAAGTATGCCATGCGGCTGGGGACTCTCAGATCGCGAGCAGGAACTGAATGAGGAGCTTCGGGCGAGGATAGCCCGGAAGGCTCCAATGCATCTGGGAGGTGCATCTTCTCTCGCCCGATTGTTTTAGCAACAGTGCCCGAAGGTTAAGAAGCCTAAGTTCCATGAGACTTTCCACGTGCCAGAAGCTGATGAGCGAGGCACGCGGCTGCAAAAGCAGGCAGCGTGTCTGTGAGTTGCGCCTCAAACTTCCTGGCAGGTCGAGAAGTGTGACTGCCTCAAGACGGCCAGTCAGAGAATGTCAGAGAGCACGTGAGTCAGCACGTTGAAACCTCTCTGGTTTGGCTCAGGTACTCGGAGACGCGGGTGCGCTTCAGGCATGAAGTTGTGTTCTGTGCGGAGCTGCAAAACGCCTTCATCGAGCCGGCGCACACGCATGCACTCGCGCGCGTGCTCGGCCCATACCCACACCATCCCATACCCACACCCAAACACCCAACAACACCCAACGACACCTAGCGACACCCAACCACACCCAACCGCGCCCAATAACACCCAACCACGCCCAACCGCACCCAAGGACACGCAACGACACCCAACAACACTCAACGACACCCAAGGACACCCAACGACACCGAACGACAACGACAACCAACAACACCCAACCACACCCAACCACATCCAACCACACCCAACGACAACGACACCCAAGCACACCCAAGGACACCCAAGGACACCCAAGGACACCCAAGGACACCCAAGGACACCCAAGGACACCCAAGGACACCCAAGGACACCCAAAGGACACCCAAGGACACCCAAGGACACCCAACGACACCGAACGACACCCAACGACACCCAACCACACCCAACCACACCCAACCACATCCAACGACACCCAACGACAACGACACCCAAGCACACCCACACCCAAGGACACCCAAGGACACCCAAGGACACCCAAGGACACCCAAGGACACCCAAGGACACCGAACGACACCCAACGACACCCAACGACACCCAACCACACCCAACCACACCCAACCACCCCCAACCACATCCAACGACACCCAACGACACCCAACCACACCCACGCACTCACGTGCCTGCCCACACGCCCACGTGCCCACACAGGCAGGCAATACGCGAAGCATACGCGAAGCAGCGCGCTAGGATGCTTTGTTCGGCCGGATGCAGCAATGTCAGTATATGTCATCGAGTACTGCTTTGGCCGGAAGGAACTGGGCCGGAGAGTGGGAGCCCTGAATGTCTGCAGTCACAGAGGGCTAAGCTGTCATTTATTTGTCTAGCTGACCAAGGCCGATGATTTTCAGCCACTCCGAGTTTTCTAAGTCGGGCGCTGACCAACATACCAGATCTCATTGTCATTGTCAGATGTGCATTATCTGTCTTCAAGTGCAAAGGTTGTGTCGACAAGCCGGCCGAGCAGAGCTACCGCGCCGGCCTCGACGTGATTCATGAGTTCAACATGTTTTGGTGCGGGATGGTGCGGGCCGGTTGGAAACTACCACGCTGACCACTGACTCAGTAAATGGCAAGCAAGGTTGGAGTCTGAATTCTGCAACAAAGTCAAGCCATTGGTCGGCAGCTCAAATATACAAGCTCACAAGAAGTAGTTGCGATTTGGTGTGCCGGAACGTGGTGGACCATAAGAAACGTCGCCACTTGACCGAGCAAGGTGTTCGGCTTTAAGTTCAAAGCAGAGCCTGTGAGTTCCAATGGCGTGGGATTAGAGCCTGTGTAACGCGTAGCCTGGTTGCTATCGCCGACCCCGACATACAGCACGTGGCTTTGCATAGAGCAACCGGGGAACGGACCAAAAGAGGAGAATCATGGGAATACCCGTATCCCCACGTCAGACATGTATTCGGCATACAGTAGTTGCATATGAGAAGCATAGAAGTTTCACACAGGTCGGAGCCTGCAACCACGAAGTGGTTTGGCGAGTAGGTTTGTTCGCGTTTGCGACAAGTTTATCGTGAGCACAAGCTTGTTCTGGTGCATCTAATGCTCAACAGTGTTGTTGATTGTTCACGGGCCTGGTGTTGAACATCGAAGCATGCTGAAACCAGTCCGCACGTCATTGCGGAGCTTGTGAGGAAGACTGCGTCGTTATGTGCAGATGGTGTGTGCTTGGAGCATCGCTGGGAGCTATTTGCTCAAGAGGACGTGCCCGGAGTAGGGTAGATGCGCAGGGTACATGCTCCATGTTAAGCCAAGTGTACTACGCACTGACGTCGCGAAAATGCCGACGAGCAGTGCTGCAGGTGCACCCGTGTGCAATGTGTTTGCTCCTGGTCTTGCCAGCGGCACCCCGGTTCAAAGCTTTGTGCGGTTAAGCTGGGCGGCACTGGACGGTAGCATGATCGACTGAGATGCCGCTAAGGCCTTTTTGGCATGGCAGCTGTGGCCAGCTCCGTTTGCGCTGAAGGAAGACATCGTCAAGGAATACAAGGTGGTGGCCTCCATGATGGAATCATCTCAACAACCGTGGCTTGGCATGCACTTTCCTTGACCTGAAATGCAAGGGTGAGTTGAGAGAATTGCCTTGTCAGTGAGGTCTAGTCGCGGCAATCAGGCACAGCATCTGGTGCAAAGCTTGAGGGGACGTCCGCAGTTGCCAATGCCAACAAACCTGAAGATGGAGAAGCAGGTGTTAGGTGCAAGTAGACCGGACAGCCGCACTTCGAATCTACCTCCGAAGACATCGGGCAGCGAGCCTTCTGTCCCGCCAATGCCAGCTGCAGCCACGTCACGGGCCCCCCAAGCTGCTCAATCGGTCCCTTCCGCATTGTCAGCGGACTTGCATCCAGCATACCGCAGCCTCATCAAGGAGTACCCGTTTCAGCCAGTGCGGAATGAACGAGGTCAGTTCGTCAACATCATACTCGTCAGGTCACCTTTCCGATCTCGCCATCAAAGAGAACTTTTTCAGCAGTACAAAAACGAGCTCTTGTTTATTGGCATAAGCAGCTTTGAGGACTACCCACAGCCGCCTCCAAATCCTTTCTCAGGCAAGTTTTCGGAAACAGAGTACGTGGGTCTCTTCCCAGGCTTCTTGCATATGGTACGGGAGCCCGAGAGGATCTTCCCCAGCACGGTGAAGCTACTCCTGATGTCACAGTCTGATTTTTCCTTGCCTCCTCCGCAGCCGCAAATGCCGAAGAAGTATGACTTTACCTTCTCTGGTTCAGACCAGGATGTTCGCAATGATTGCGTCGGCTGGTCTTCCTTTGCAAAAAACTGGACCTTTGTGAAGGAAGCGTTGGCCGTGATGTGTGGCGAGCTTGGCATGACTGGTGTGCTTGTGGCAACGAAGGACAAGCAGGATCGTAAAGCCTGCAGTATTCCAGCAAGCTGCGAGGGCAGGATTTTGCAGACCAAGTTCTTATCGCAGAATGAGTTTTTCAGCTATGTCCAGCAAAGCAAGTTCCTCTTCGTGCCACAGGTGCATGATGCATCACCTCGCGTGACGACCCAGGCATGCCCGCATGTGGTTAAATGGCACAATCATAGACTTACATAGACCAATTAGACCTGCATAAGCCGGGCTCGATTCTGAAATATATTGGGGCCAGCACTTGGAGCAGGATGCACTCTCAGAGCCTGTCTTTTTTTGCAGGCTCTGGCACTGGATGTCCCGCTGCTCATGAACTGGAACATCATGGGTGGCTGGAAGTATCTCAATGATAAGACCGGTGAGTTCTTTCATGTTCCTCGGTTCAATCTTGTGGTGAAGTTGCATTGGAAGCACTAGCAAGAAGTGGTCTGTAGTTTTACACTGAACAGCTGTCGGAGTCAGAGCTGGCGGTTCAGGACGAAGGAGGAGGAAGAAAAGCTTATCACAGCTCATCATTTTAGTCTCCCGCTAATCTTCATCATGCTTCGGCATCGGCATACGGTGTGTTTGCGTGTATTCTGCATTATGCTGCAGCTGGCCAACTTTCCTTCTTTCAGGTTGTCGGATTTGTCAAGAAGCCCCGCATGCTGCAAAGCTGCTACCATGCAAGGACATGTCAGATTTTCGAGAAAGTGTGCGGACTCTTTTGCAGAAGGTGGATGGATGCTTGGTGGGACATTCAGCAAGGCACTTTCTGAACTAGAGCCATACAAGTGCATGCTGTTGCAAATAGGTCCTTGCTAGTGGCCAGCATGATTGCTAGCTGTGGCTGTTCTGGGCGCCAAGTTTGCAACATATTGCAGCCAAGACATGTCGCAGGCATGGACAACCTCATAGTGTTGGGTTATGTTGGGTTTGCAAGGTTTCCAGGCTATTCCAGATCCATGTAAAAAGGGCCTTTCATGCTTTCGTTTTCCATCGTTTTCCCAGAACGGCAGTACGAGCCGCGGCAGTGGGTCACGTCGAATTACGGAGACCAGGTGTCTGGAGCCAGGCTGCTGAAGTTCATTGAAGAGGCTGGACTTTTTGCTAACCTAGATACCACCGTCGGATTTGAGTGGTCATCCTCAATCGGGCCACTGTAGTTCATGCAGGGTGCTACGGGTACAGCAGCTTCTCTCTCACGCTGATGCAAACAATAGTAATCCGGGGATATCTGCAGCCTTGCATAATCAGCAACGCACTGATAACCAATGCCCCTGAAAGAATTTTGCCGACCGCGTGAAGCTGCCAGACGGAACCCGACGTCTCTTTCCATCCGGCGCATGAGTGAACCGACGGTGGCTGAACTGCTGCGCACACCGTTTAACGCACCGCTGCGCCAACTTGAGAACGGCCATGGCTGGCGAAGGGGCCAAGTGCATTGAAGTATTCGAGCTGTTTACTCTTGGCGGTGCCGTTCTTCAATGGCGGAGACATTCGACCGTGGGCGGTCTGGTCGTGGAGTGATGTGAGTCGACCCTGAGCAAGCAGCTCTAGTTGATAGCAGCTCCACAAGCAGCCATGCTGTAAAAGTAACACGGAGGCTTCACGCAGTACCTGGCATCGCCTCGACAAAAGGTGTCAGGTTGGAAGTGGTAGTTAGTTTAGGCCAATATGCAATGGAAGTAGGTGCTGCGCAGCAGCTTTTTTTAAATTTGGTTTGTCTTGTACTCAACGCATCCCGGCGGCTGTTTGATCAAGGGAAAGGCAGACGCAGCGTTTTCTGGGATATGTGGCGACAGCATCGAGCCGAGTGCATGGTGGACGCCAAAGCCCCAGAGCTTAGGAAGTCGAGTGGAGCTTTGAAGGTAGGCCTGTGCAATTGCTGAGGACCTGTTTTGTTCCGTGGTGGGCAGATTCAGAAAGTCGGGCTGCTTAGGTTGGTGCTTGAAGATCGTTGGCCCAGCTGTGGCAGCGCCGCTCAACCGTACAAATAACTCAGCTGGCTTTGCTTGCACTTGCACGGCTTCGCGTGGCATTTCCTCGCATGCATGTGAATGAGTTTTCATGTCTTGAAGGTACATGGCGGCCGGCCGCTCGAAAAGCCGAGGCCGCCACCTTGTTCTGGTCAAAGATGTCCTCGCCCAAAGGATGTCTTGTGACTCTTGGCAGGCAGCCGGAGCAGGAGTCACGGCCCTAAACTTGATCAGGGGTTTTCTAATGTAGCATATCAAGCAAGAGCACGCAACATGATCTTCACTAGCATTTTTTCGTGATCATGCAGACTCAGCCTGTGCACCATCTACGCAGCCACTGAGCCACGAAGCGCGATTAGTCACAGCAGCGAAGTGCGAGAGAGCTGGAGCGACTTGCTATTCTTGTCGAGATTCATGCATGGGGAGCAGTCGGTGAGTCCGTGGGGCTCAACAAAAAGAGGGAGCGAGAGAGAGAGAGGGGGCTATGTGCGAAGGAAGAGGGGGCTTGCCCCCTTGCTCCCCCGGAGCCGTGACAAGGTCTTGCACTCCATAACCTGAGCACATGATAATGCCACATCGAGAATGTTCTGCTGCGTGGGCCGGTCACGGTTCTTGCATGTTCTTGTCGTTCTTGTGGTGTGGAATGTTTATAGTTTATGGAGTGAAGATCTGCATGTTTTCATGGGCAGCATGCAGCACGGCACATGCAGCATGGTGATGAGGCGCTGGCAGGGAAGACCGGCTAGCAAAGGGCGGAGGTGATCGCCGCCTGGTTTTCACAGACTTGCGAGCGCCTGCACGCGGCTTGCTGCTGTGTTGTAGGGTAGCATGATGCAGATCTCCGGGATCTTTGCCTGCATTTTGCCTAAGGCAAGACATCTCGTTCTCCGGACGTCAAGCGGAAGGCGTCACGATCGCCGAAGAAACCGAAGCCGTCGGACTCACCAGCACAGCGCAAACTGTCGCGCTCTCCTGCTCGTCGCAAGCCCTCCCGCTCCCCGGAGGGCCGCAAGCGGTCCCTCTCACCAGACCGGCGCCGCAAGCTTTCACGGTCACCGGATGGACGCAAGGCATCCCGCTCACCAGAAAGGCGGCGCAGGTCGCGCACCCCAGAAAGCAAGAGGTCACGTTCACCAGATGCCAAACGGAAGCTGTCACGATCGACGGACCGGAAGCGCAGGGCATCTCCATCACCAGAAACCAGGCGGAGACCCTCTAGATCCCGATCTCCAGACAGGCGCAGGTCGTCCCGAAGCCGCGAACGGGACAGAGATCCTGACAGCTCCTGGGCAGCAACGCGAAACACTTGCTGCTTGCAGACTAGATAACTTACTATGCCGCAGTCTTACACCGGCACTTTTGCATAGGGCGGGATGGACGGCGTGAGCGAGACAGACGCGATCGAGGCACCACTCACGCCAGAAAGCAGCTCACCGTATTCACCGTGTTGTCTTGCTTCGGGAGGTGGCAGCCGTGATCGCGATAGAGACCGTGAGAGGGAGAGAGATCGCGACCGAGGAGTGCTCGCCAGTGCTGGATGTGGCTTTGACCTGCAGTGTCGAGCATTGTCGACACAGCAGGAAATAGTCGCCAGCGCGATCGAGATAGAGACAGGGGCAGCTTTGCCTCCATGTTCAGGTGCTCATGATGCAATGGAGCGTGTGCTTGCTACTCAAGGTACGTCAAGGGGGCGAGACCAAGATCGTGGGGGGCTCACGGCATCTCACGGCCAGGGTCGTACCTAAACAAGTAGCTAGAGCAGACATTCGTGGAGCATGAGCCAGATTTGTCGCATTCCTTGTTATGTAGGCGCAAGTGGGCTATCACATCGCTAGTGACCTATCACTTTCGCTAGTGACCGACAGTGGCCTTGCGGAGTGCGAAGGGCATGCAATACATTGGAAAACGTGGTTCCTTGACCAGTTTCTTAGCCTGAATCTTCCCCGGTGACTCAAAAAAAGATACCTTTTTGGCCGGTCATTCCGCTTCTTCAGGGCACCAGGGCTAGCTCCTCCGGATAGCCCTGACAGAGGGCGACTGTTTCGGCATGTTTCGACAGTCCACGTGCAACACTCAGCGTCCTCTCAACCACGCGAAGTTTTGTCAACAAATGATTGGGTTGTTACAAACCCAAAACCGATACCCGCAAGTTACATCTAATGCCTCCGGCTCAATGGAGGCAATGACTTAGCCATGACTTTTGTGATGCAGCCTTGACTGCAATGGTTTTAACGGTTAACGGGAAGTTGACGGGACCCTGTAGCCTCAACATCAACTGACAGATGATTCGATGGTACATAGCTTTTTGATGATCGCCAAGGAGATCGTGACAGAGGCAATGATCGCAGACATGATCGAGATCGCCGAGATCGCCAGCACCTTATCATCTTCTTCAACATCTTTCGGCATCGGTTTTCTTCGAGCGAGAACCCCTACCAGCCCTTTCAGCACCTTTTTGCACGCCTTCCTCCAAGGTGACGGACGCGAGCGAGATCGCGACAGGGGCGATAGAGACAGGCGAGATCGAAGGTCACGATCCAGGTGACTCTTCCTAGTTTTTTGTGTTTGTTGGATCTTTTTGGTGGCTTGTCGGGTCTTCGCCTGCATTGAGTTGACACTTGATCTTGTTCTGTCAGTTTAGACGTGACGCGCCAGTATGCCGAACACGGCTGCTTGAAATGGGTCACCGAAAATTCTAAACAGGCTGCATAGTGTCGAGCATCAGGTGGGGCTGAAGTTCCACTGTGCAAACACTCAGCAGTAGTGAGAGGACCATCCGCAACATGCCCGAAGTCCTAAAGCCCACTCAGGCCGCCCAAAGTTGCAAAAGAGTACCGTCGGCCTCCATACTTCGGAATGATACGCAAGGTGAGCCAACGGGCAGGATGCGGCTAGATCGCCAGACGGGAAAGCTCAGTTGCTTATCCTTTATGCACGCTAAAAGAACAGGCATCGTGGCTTTCATTTTTTGCGGAAGTAAAAGGAGAAGTTTGTCCCAAAACACCAGCACCAGCACCCGGACAACACGTGCTTTCACTTGAATGCAGACTTGGATGAATCAACAATGCCAGCATTTTGCCGAGTGTGGCGACCCTTTGTGGTTGCAGTCAAAGTGGGTCACACACCCTTCAGATCACTCCAAATTCAGAAGGCATCAAAGGACACACACACATACACAGGAGGAGCAGGATCACTCCCTTGCTGTATCTGGAAATGCTGTGGGGGCAGCTTGAGAAACCTTGGGTGAAGCACCTGCAATCGATGCAATCGACCTGGCATCGTCTGCTGCCCTGCCAAGGCGATCCCGATCTCCTCGACGCCGCTCACCGGCGCGTCGTGGAAACCGTCGCGGCCTGTTCCTGTACACACGTATGAGACCAGATTGATGTAATTAGGAACACAAGCCTTTGTACTTTGCACTGTGCACCAGGTGATAAAGGCAACGACAGGGCAAAAGATGGTGACAAGCGTGCGCTTCTCAGGAGATGAGCCCCGGGATGTAGGTCAAGCACACATTTACACCCTACAAGGACTCTTTTTGGCGTGCAAGTTTCTTCGTCTGTTTCACTTTTGTTTTGTTGCGATGCCTGCAATATCTCAGAAATTTGCAAAGCATCTGCAATGTGTGTCAGGTCGTGAAAGAGATGGCGGTAGCCCAAAGGGTCGGGGTGGTGCCAAGGTGCGCTACCAATGCTACCAGCAATGTGTGTGTGTGTATAGTGCGCATATACTGTGTATCGAAACGCCCACATTTCTTTCCCAATGGGCTGTACTGTTCGAAGGCAGCACGACTCGCAGCCCTTGAGTCCATCAAAAGGCGCGTCGGCTTGTGATCAGCAACGTCACGTCACATCGCACTTTGCGGTGCATCCTGATGCAACTCCCAGGAAGCGCGTCAAAAGTGGCAGTGGCAGCAAGAGCAGCCCAAATCCGAGAAATCAAGAATGACAAGAGATCTCAGAAGAGTCCAGCGCAGAACATTTCCCTCAGTGAACATGCGCCAGCAGCCACCCAATGCCTGAGGTAGCCGCAGTCACAGCAGCAGCGCGGCATTCTTGGAACGTTTATCTCGCTTGCGATGTGTCGACAGGAAATCGCTCCTGCATGATCTTGCATGTGCACGCTGAGTCTAGCAGCTCATCGGCAAGCGGCCAGAAGGGCCAGAAGGGTGCTTTTCTGAGTTGGAACATGATAGGATCATCGCCCCCAAATTGTAGAAAATGTCTGCTTCAGGTGTGAACGACACGAACGGCGATGTGATCGAAGTCGTCGAGGCCAGAGACAGGAAATCAGGTTCAGTTCGGGCTCTCGTTTTTAGAGGGCTTCAGGTTTTGGAGCCTCAGCAGTCCTGGGTTCATTCAGACAAGGGCT